TGGCAAAGTATAGTTTGTCTGTTCGCGATCAAACAGGGCGGTTCCCACAAGAATTGAATGAGCCCACCCGCTGAGTTTCTAGCATTGGTTTTGTTCCTAAAACAATCATCACCCGATCGCCATTGGTTGAGCAAGGTAGTCGAATATGGGCTCGTCCCGCCCCTTTTTCGCTGCCCATCTGACTGCGATTTTAAGAAGTATATGTAAATTCGTACTGGACACACTTTTTTCTTTTCGTGATGCTGATAAGTCAGTGCTGCAAGAGGGCTGGTCCAGTATAGAAAGGAGCTCGTTCTGCCCAAGACTAAGGCAGAAACTCTCATGCAGCTGGCTCGCCATCGTTTCTTTACGCTAAGCGCGGTGCAAAAAAAAACCACAACTATAGCCTGGAAAGGAAGCTCGTAATATTTCGAAGTTTTCCAGAAGTACGCGGGGCTTTACCAAATTTTCCGGAATGTTGGCAGATGTTCACAGAATACCTCCCTCCTCCTCCATTTGCACTGATTTGGCACCAGTGAGCTACTGTAAAGTTGAAAATGGCACCAATTTCGGCGCAGTTCGGCGACGGGGAAGGGGTAAATTCTACACTCCGAGCCAACTAAAGAGCTCTTTCATGAGCAAGACAAAGTTGACAGGTTTACCATGGTGGCTAGACGAGCTTGCTCCAGCTTCACAAAGTTCACAGGTTTCACCAGAGCGGAACTTGTGAACCGGAACTAGTAAAGCAGTGAAGGTACAAAATGCCCTTCCCCGTCGCCGACGCCCCAATTTCTGTTGTTCTTTATTTTGTGTAGTCCTACGTTTATTGAGGCGCCATCTTCAAAAGAATTCTTCGTGATATTTGATATCACAGCTGCTGAGTGCGGTTGCTGCCCATTGCCCGGCGTCGTGATTGAAGTTTCGTGTAATAATCGCAATGAAACGTGTTGGTCGAGAAGCGATGAGATCTGAGATTTCTCAGGACGGGGACGTCGAACACATGCTTTCTCACTGACTAATGCTATTGAAAGGCTTGTTGGAATGTGTTAGAAGAACACAAATCAAATGGATGTTCTGCAGAGTTTTATCACACGAACAGGTGTCGTGTTGGGAAATCCTTTTCACCAGACAACATGTGTTAAATCAGGGTGACATGCTAAGAGAAGTAGTTCTGATGAACGGGGAAAGACAGCTAATGGAACGTAGTAGTATGTCAGGGAGAGCCTGTTAACCCCCTTTGAAGATTCATGGGTCTTCAGTTCATCAGCATTCTCCCTTTTGTGAGTGCAGGTGTCGCTGCTCGAGTTCCTGCGTGCATTTTATGGTCACTTCTAGTCTACCCGAATATGGTTAACGGGCTAAATGGAAAAAGTGTCAGGTAAAAACGAAAACGACCGTTCCCACTGATTTCCACTCGGCGCGACTCATCTTTGAATTATTCGGAGCGAAATCCTTGAAATATGGGATTGCACTCGAGTGGCTGTGCAAGGGGGGGGGGGCCAGAGTACGGCATATATAATGTGTGAGGTGGTGGTGTAGGTACGCGACCCCCGACCCCTTTCCCAACACCTACCCCCAGTTTTTTTCACCCAAAAATTTTCCTTCGAGGGGTGGGGGTATAGTGCACATGAAACAGGAAAAATTACGCAAAAAGTCAACAACCAGAAAACAACACGACAAACTTCTCTCAAAGGCACATGCGACCTCTCTCCCAACGACGAAATACGACCCCCCCTCCCCAGAGAAAAAGTACGACCCCTTATGTTCCCCCACAGCGATGCTGTACCCTGGGAGGTATTTGGCTCGCTAAACTGTTCGCTTTGCATTAAGGCGAGTGTTTGACAATATTTTTTTTCAGAAAAATCCCATGTAAACTGGGATAAGGTAGTGAAAGAAATGGGTGAAGTTGGGTTTATTAGTCGGAAAGAGGGTCGTACTCGAGAGGGTAATGGATCGAGACCGTACTGAGCAACCATTTCCCCCTCATCGCTATAGGAAGCACAAGCTGCGCTTGTCCTCTTCTACTAATGCAGGCAAGGGCATGCATTAATGGATGTGTGGACGGTGCTAGCCAGATTCGCCTACCGCTCAACACGCTATTTATCGGGGCAATATAGTTCACGACTGGATGGCCTGTGGTCTGTCCCAATGAAGGGGCTTGTATATGGAATTTCTACAGTTTTAGAGCCGGTATACCACAGTTTTGGAAAGCGGCCAACTCATTTGATCCAATCGAACCAGTTGGGGGCAGTAAAGATTTAAACCGTCAGATGTTCTTCAAAACTTCAAAGGAAAAATGACTCACAGCTTATCGATTTCTTTTCTAGGAGATGCCACGCATTTTACCTCCATCAAGTTTCTCAGTGAATGCGAATTGAGCTACACTATGGCTGGCGAGGGTAGGGGAGTTTTGATCCTTCTGGACGAGTCTGGTACTAGTATACCGGCCCCCGAGAAATAGGAGACTTGCTTGGTTGGGCCTCTAACCGGTCTGGTGGCTTTTTCTCGGAATGAAATGGTGGGAAAGTCATCCCCTCCTGACGTCTAGTGAGAGTCAGATGTTCGATAGCCTTGTGGAAGAGTCGGATAGGTGCGCTTCCCAAGTAATCTTGGTTACTTGTACCTTAGTTACTGACTAGTTCCTCTTATATTGACGGTATATGGAACTTTTTACATGTGCGACCGTCTGTCCATTGCAGATGGCTCTACAAAAGCTTATGGTCCGCCTAAACAATGCATACTTTCGGCTATTTATCTTGTAATTTCTTCATACTATCAAATTTGGTAGGGATTGTTAGAGAACTGACTTCAAAAACCTGTTTAAGCGGTTGCAAAGATGATCGACCCGGCTGCGCCTCGGCCAGAGGGGCAGTTAATGACTCCGGTTCGTGGTGACAGTGCGAGTGCAACTACACAGAATCATCCAAGGAGCTTAGACAGGTGTGTTTGTTAGTCGATAATGTTTTCCAGAAAGCTGTGCTGTACGAAAAGATTCATGATCATACTTTTTTGTACTGAAAACAACTGATTCTGTTGTTCATTGAGGGATTACTTGTCAGTACAACCATAAAAACAGTTATTAATCATGTGGATTACACCGTTCGCATGATCAAGAGAAAAAGCTCTGCTTTGTTGAGTTCTCGTCTTAAAGATAAATCCGCGATTGTATATTGTGGGTAGTGAAGTCCAGTTACAAACTTATAAGCGCTGTGGCGCTCCGGGGAAGAAAAAATGCAAAAAAAATCGTGGAAAACGCCCGAACTAAAGACCCGACTGCCTCTTGGGACGGAGTTCTCCGCAGAAATTTTTCTTCTGTTCTTTTTTTTTATGCCAGCAAAGGGGTATCCTGCAGCCTGTTGCTCACTAACCTTGCTTTTCGCCATCCAATGCTAATTTCCATCTAACAGTGAAAAGAAAACTGTAGAAAGAAAATTGTAGAAAGAATTGTAACAAGAGGGCTTTTCAGTTTCGGTGGGCGGGGCAACTGGGGAGGCGTCAGAACTGCCAGTGAGGGCCACTTCGTTTTTTTTTTACTTACTGTGAAGCCGGGATAATCGGAGAATGAGGGGCACACCACCTGTACAATGGAGGGCGCCTTGTTTGCCTAGCGAGGGGACTGAATTTGAAATTGTCTTTACTCTTTTTTGCTCATTGGGACTTCCAGGCCTATTCCTGTCATTTCTATTGGTTTTAACAGCTGCCTAGCTGTGAAACTTAATGTATTTCAGCTCACGAAAAATGTAAAAGCGAAGAGTGAAAAATGAACAACGAAGTGAAATTGAAGAATAAAACCGTACTATTTCTATTTTGCCCATTTTAAATGTCAGTTGCTGATGGTTGTTTTCCCAAAGGGCGTTTTATCATTTGTTCCAATTTCAGAATCTCTGGTCTTGTTCGCTGCATGAAGGGGCGTGTCAGACCGGATGGGCTTAGCGCGGAGCCGTAATCCTTTTCCACCAGTTGTGGGGCGAAAGGGAAAAGATCGTTATATCGTTCGTGTCCGTTGTTTTCTACCACTTGTAGTCGCTTACCCTTTTAAACTGGTGGAGCGTTTGACGCCGTGGCGCAATCATACTGCGTGACATGCCTCTTCATCTGCAGCGAACAAGACTGTACATTTTCGTTTCGGGTTTAGTTGCACAAATAATTAATGCATTACATCGAATCAAGCCCGATGAACTTCTGTTTTTCAAAAATTCCCTTTTAGATTGAAGTTGTGGCTAGGTTTACTCCCCCCACTGCTCTCCGTGTTTCTAGCCAAGTTTCGATCGAATCGGCCGAGACTTTGAGCTCGGAACACTTTGAATCCTTGAATACGAATGTCGCAGCGACTTTTAGCGGAAATGTCTGTATCCGCGCCAATAGCCAGATCTGGCACTGGTACCCATAGCGCATATGTCAAATGCTTTCGCTCAAAGCAAATGTGATATTCGTGTTCACAAGGCCTAACTATCTCCTGGGGCTAATTTGTGCTTTTTAAACTCCCCAGACGCGGCGAGCCGATCTGTTTTGAATCAGCTGGATGTGATGTTCGTCTAAGGGGGTTGGACTATCCCTAGCGATAGAATCCCAGCCGAATCTGCTCCTGAGAAAAAAATTTGGATTAAAATTTGGCTTTCATTTCGAGAAATGTATAAAAAAAGCTATCGGAAATGACGTTATGTTGAAAAATTGATGAAAAATATAGAGGGGGGGGGGTTAAAAAGTGAAGAGGGGCTCAGCTCTCGTTTCACCTGATTATGCGAAAGAGTGTATAGTATTTATCAAGAAATTTAGCGCTCTTCATCGATATGGCACATCGGCTCCGAAGAGTGTGGCGGGTATGGTGCTCGATCAAGCTGGTCGGCCCAGTCAGAGTATCACCTATGGTAAGACTTGAATACAGCCTCAACTTCTACGTTTACTTTGATTTTCCCTTCGATTTTTTTTACTTTTCCCATACTGCTTCCTGTTGGGATGTTATACGACACAAAAAGCTTAGCCCTCGTTAGGGCTCAAACCCGGACTTCTCATACCGGGTTGGCATAGAATTATTTTACTTATTATTTTTCTCGGAATTATTTTACTTTTTTCATCAGTAATTTATCAGTAACTTCCTCCATTTTTTTTCAACAGTTTATGAGGTAAGCATTTCTCGTGATTGAGAACGTGTTTTGATAACTTCAGAACATGAATAAAAAGCCATTTCATTAAAATAAAGCACCGCACAGGGACAAAATAATGACACACCATGTGTGTCACGCTGTCCGGAACGTGTTAACCACACAGCTTGACGGGTTTTTTCATAGCCCACCATTATCAATATCGTGGCGAACACTGGAAAACAGTGTTCCCCACCGACGAATTTGCTTTATTCGGCTCCATTTTGACTTATTTCTGCTTTTTCATCGAGTTCCATTAGTTTATCCAAAGGACGGTGCTGCAGTTCAATTTCCACTTCACTAGGGTTGAGATAAAGAAAGGTCATCATCATGGCATTCTAGGAAAGCTGCTGAGTCGAGCCAACAAAGTGGCATTCCTTTTGCTAAACAAGACGATATCTGGAGGAAAAGACAACACTAAGGTAGGGCTACTTCGAATATTCTTATTACTTTTTTAAAGATTCGAGTGAGTATGTCGTTTCAGATCCCGATGTGTAAATCAGGTGATCGGAGTGGCGCTTATTTATCCGAATACGGAGCCTTTAGCGTTTTTGTCGGCGTTCTATGGCTGTATATTAGCAGGAGTTGTACCAGTACCAGTTGAAGTTCCCTTAACCAAGCGGGTAGGCTTCACGCAGTTTATTTTCTTTTCTTTCATTTTTTGTATCATGACCAGTTCCAGGATGCTGGTATACAACAACTAGGATTTCTCTTGGGTAGTTGTGGAGTGAAAGTCGCCTTAACATCGGATACGTGTTACAAGGTAAGCTCTTTGCCAGTATGGATCTTTAGGAAATTTTGTTTTTTTTTTCGTAAGAATGACTAGTTTTTGGCAATTATTTGTCGTCTGGACATTTCGTCAGCGCTTGAAGGTTTTGCCTCGTTTTGTGTCATAGTTTTATCCTACTGCACTTGCAGGGTCTCCCAAAAACCACCGTTTCGTCCACACAGTTTCCTCGAAGTAGCACATCTGGTCCAAGCTTATTGACTGGCACCTCGCAAGAGGTTGTCGACCTAAAGTCGTGGCCTCGGCTGTATTGGGTCATAACTGAGCATTTGGTGAGTTACGGAAGTTATAGCTAGTCTGCTTTGAGTTGTTCAGTTGTTCAATTCATAATTTTTTTGATTCTGTTTTCTCGTTTTTTTTTGGTCCAATTAGTTCCTTCTAGTGTATTGAGTTTTAGGGAAAACCAACCCGTGAATGGATAGCACCACCCCGTGTCGCTGACGAAAGCATTGCCTACATAGAGTATTCCTGTGATCGAGAAGGAGCCGTGAAAGGAGTATGTATTACGCGACAAGCTATGCTGGCTCATTGTCGAGCGATAACTAGCGCTATGGAATACAAGCAAGGTGATGTTTCATCCCTAAACAAAAGTCATCATTCAACCCAAGCACCAAATTAGCGATTTAATCCACCGGGCGCTTAGGCGGGGGGGGTGATTAATCTGCTCTCTGATTCATGAAAGGCCGATGGCCTAATTCTTATCCAGCAATGTCCAAAACCGATGTTGAACAGACAGGAAGGATCGTGTCCAAAAGCTAGTTTTCAGTCAAAATGGTGACTTGGGGTATTTTAGCGCCGGCGCCTGTGACGTGGGTAGGCGCTTCCGTATGAGGTGGATGTTATATTCGCCCTTAGGGGAAACTAACTTTCGATTAATTTGGTGGTTTGAACTATCTAGGTGCAGTCTCCTGTGACAGAGCGCGTTCATACTTCACGATCGCGCGATCCAGTCGAGCGATTCTGACCAGGGCGCTTCCATTGCCAAACGGTGCACCACCGCAATGGCACAATCCAGAGTGACATTGCGTGACGCGGCCCAATTTGAATTATGCCGTTGCGGCGGCGTACCGTTTGGTGGTGAAGCACTCCCGGTCGGGATCACCCGACTGGATCGTGCGATCGCGAAGTATGGACGCACCCACGCCGGCGTCAGGCAGTCTCGTGCTAAGCGGGCGTGATAGGATACCCTTTGAGTAAACTTTCAGCCATATCCGCTTTCGGAGACGAAAAAAAACGAACTGGTTTATACAAGAGGGTGGGTAGGAAAGGTAAATAGTGCCAAATATTCTGTCCCGATATCAGTCATATATCTGAGTTTTTTTTTATTTTTAGCTATCTTTTCGCTGTAATGTTTGTTGTTCTGCTGGATTTCCAAGAAATCCTATGTTGCTTGTTGAATAAGTCAGGGTTTTCAGGCGAAACAATGATTTGTGTATTGGATTTCAAACGAGAAGTTGGCCTGTGGCATGCAGTTCTAGCAGCTGTTTTCAATGGAATGCGAGTGGTCTTTGTTCCGTACTCCTTAATGAAAATCAATCCTGCAAGTTGGATGTTACAGGCGACAAAGTTGCAAGGTATAGCAATTCGTGTTTTTCCTTTATGAGAAAAAAAATAGCATTTTTGTGGTCAGTTGGGCCCCAGTTATCCCTGTTTCTGGTATGTGGCGCACCCTACTCTCTTACACCTGCGAATGTTTCTTTTCTTCCGCATGTTTTTGTTTATTCTTAACTATGTTGAGTGATCTGTGTTCAGCAAGACGTCTTTGAAAAGCAACTGGAGCAGTAAATATGTAAGCAAGCTGCTGCGTTGTTTAGCAGCTTTCGCGCGCGTTGTCGCGTGTGTCTTTGCGACTGCCAATAATGGTCTGCACCAGTATCACCTGTGCCCCCCTTGATATCGAGTTGTACAGCCGGCGCTAAATAACGTCCCCATTCTTATCTATGTGAATGATCATGTTCAGCAAGCACACCGTTCGTTCAGCTTCTCCACGAAGAAGCCTGATCACCGCGTAGGCGGTCGTCCAGGTGTTCCCTGACACCCAGAATTTAGCCGGATCGCTCTGGCGCAGCGGTCACCTTTGAAACGCATGACGTGTCCGGCCCACCTGATCTTCGAAACCTTGGCAAATGCGGCGGCGTCCCTGATCTTCGATCGTCGACGGAGTGCGAAGCTCCGGAATCAGACCATGTCGTACCTTAGGAAATCTTCAGCTGTGGGAGGGATTCGTATCTGATCGCTGAGGGGAGGGGGGAGGGGAGTCGTGTTTGATCTTAGAAATAGTTTTTTTATGGATGGTTATTCCCAGTCCACAGGCTTGTCTACGTCGTTTCGAAAGTTCCTAGGGGGAGGGGGACTATTTGCTCGTCGTTGGGAGAGGGGAGTCGTACTGGTTGTCGACTTTTTGTGGTTTTTTTTGTTCTCATGTGCCTATATCCTCCTCGCTCGACAGAAAAATTTCTAGGAAATATCCGGTATCCGGAAAATTTGGTAGGAAGGTGGGAAAAGTTGGGAAGCTGCATAGGAGGAGGGGGTCGTATCAGAAGGTGAAAGTGGGGGTCGTATTTTCCGAGAAAATTCCCCAGCGACAGGACGCGCCCTGTCCTGAATTCCTCTTTCTTTTGCGTGTAGCGAGGAACTCCGAGCATCGCTCTCTTGATTAAATGACGCTAAACGCATAATCATCCTGCTTTCGTAGAATTCAAGTCTCCGAGGCGAAAGTCAAAGCAAGTAGTGCTGCGAGCACGAAGTGAAGGGGTGGGCACGGAGCCGGTGTTTTCGTCTTCTTCGCTACTCCCTCGATGTTCTTGAAAGCTCCGCAAGCCGCTCCTTTGCTTGTGCTCAACTGTGGAAGTCCTAATAACTACCTCAAAACAGGATTGTTTGGGTTTGTCGGGTAACGAACAGTTCATGAATCAGTCAAATACAACCTTTGACAGCACTTTGGTTTCCAGTTTGGCGCTTTGTAGACATAGCGCAAGGACATCCTGCAGAAGCAGCTCTACGGTGCAGCGGCTGGCGCCTGTGGTCAATAGTTAGCGCAAGATCAGCTGAGGGGCCAAAGTGTCGAAGATCAGCTGAGCCCCTCAGCTGATCTTCGGCACTTTAGCGAAAGTGACGACAGGTGAGAGATGAGAGCGAGTCTCCGTTCATGATTAGAAAACAATGGCGAAGTCCGAATGCCCGCCAATTCTTTTGTGCGATTAAATGGTGCCGAGTTGTCACAACGGGGTCACTAACAGTGCGCCATGCTTTCGACATGTTCTCATAAAGAGAAACAAAGGGCGGATTACACTGCTCCTGCTAGATGAGATGACAGAACACGCCGCTCTTCGACCAAAACCCATCTTATTCAAGTGATTACGCTTTTCCATTCCTCGTCCTGAAACCCTCCTGGATTCACTGTTTTCTGCGTCCAGGTGTGAATATTCTTTTTATGAATAAGCTACTTTGCTGGGTCTGCAATCTGTTGGAACTAGTATTCGCTTGCTGCCGACCGGCAGAATGACTTTAGATTGAGATCGTAGCGCACTTCGGCTTGGTGGGGCATTTTGTTGGTTTCCGTCAGTCACTGCGATGACTTCTGTGCGGCTATACTTTAGTTCGCTGAGAACGGTTTTGCGTACCAGGCAGAAAGTAGTAGTATGTGTCACGCCGTCAGAGCCGTTCCTTTCCTTCTTTGTTGAAGCTGCGCGCTCGCCCCTGCCCAACAAAAAGTGTAAGAAAACGAGTAATACGAACGAATATGATACAATCATAGCAGTTGCTCGTTATTTAACAATTGCATGGAGAACAAGTCTTGCGCACCGCGCCAGGACTCATCCGCTATACGCCAACGTCCGCAATGTAAAGTAACACTATATTGCAATATTCCGTTAGGCAGTTTCGATAAGGGTAACAATGCCCCCCCCCCCCCACTCTAAGCCGAACAGCGCCGAAATCATGTTGGCTGGAGCCCTAATTGTATTTTACTGACACGAGGAATCGCAGCATATCGCTGACCATTGCACTCAGCTCTTCTCATTACTCTAGGTGAACATTCATCCGTACTTCACAGCTGCTAGTGCCAAGAGCTAGCCGCGACTGATTCAATGTGCCATATGTCTTCGATCAAGAAAATTACACCAGATTGTGTGAGGTGTGGAAATGAAAAGTCATTCATCTTATAATTTCTCCAGTCGTCATCGCACATACTTCCGTGGGATCGGCATATAACGGAGTGTGATTGAGAATAAGGGACCGAGTTGTTTCTGATGAGCAGCATCTTCGCCCGCTTCGATTAAGAACCGGCTCTTGGCGCAGTTCGGCTTGGAGGGGGGGGAGGTGTTGGGGGACTTTTTGTACTTTCGGCTACTTCCCATTCTCGTGTTCATTGCATTACAGGAGTTGGCAGGTGATCTTTACAAGAGGTTGACTGTTCTACAAACTAAGTGGTACCCTCATGGCTTCTTAAGATTCCGGAGGTCCCTACTTGATGGTTTGGCACGACAAGGGGCTGCAGCGGAAGTGTAAAATGCCCCCACCCCCTAAGACAAGCTGTGTCAGATCATTTTTGCTCGTTTTGTCGAAATCAGCTAATGTTTACTGCACTAATTCGACGATGAGGAGAGTTGTGAGTGATGGAGAAGACACTGTACGTTGACCTTCGCTCCCGTCGCATTCCGGTTCTCCACTTCGACTGTCCTCCGAATGGTGTTGAAGTGGTTATGCATCTTCAAGGAACAACAAAACATCTGGTTGAAATGCTTTGTTTCGATGTGCATCGACCGAAAGTCGCGTGTGAGGCCATCAGGAAGGAAAAAAGGGTCGTCTATAACGTGAGAGAGACTAGCAATGCTAGAAGATCTGAACAAATGGTGACATAATGAGGTCAGAAGAAGTGATACATATGTGAGGCAGTGCTGAATGTCGTCATACTTGCGTGAATTGGTTCATACCTTGCAGCAGCGTTTTGGGCGTCTGTCAGCGTTGAACGTTTCGAGCAACTAGGAGAATGCAGGTATCCATCTAGCGTTTTGGGTGATCCGCAAACCTTCTGAGCGCTTTGAGCTATTAAGAACTACAGGTACTGACATCGCTGAAAACGCTGGAGGACACTGGTCGCTCGAAACCCTAAAAACCCTCATAGCGCTGACCGACGCTCGAAACGTGCCGCAACGTATGAAAGAAAAAATGAAAGAAAAGATAAAAGAGCGAGGCTGGTGTGGGTTATGTGACAGTGCCAAATGAGGCACCTGCGATAGCAACCTGAAGCAACGGGCTTCTTGACCGTCGAAATATCAGTCATGTTACTCATGTTTTACTCAGTTGTTTTATGCCTTCTTGTTTGCTTTTCTATAGATGCCGTCCGAGCTAAGAGCAGCGGTTGTTTTTCCCACTCTGTATGTTTTCAATGGGAGTTGAAGGCCCTTCTGACCATTTTTCTAATGCGCTATCAACGGTGTTCGTATGGGCGGAGACGGGCAGTCGCTGTGACCTAATCATAGATGTCCGGCCTCGTCACCGTTTTAGAAAGAAGGTCACGGAGAAGTCGAAACGTTTTGGCCCTCTCGCCTACAATCCGCCTTTAAAGGCAGTTTGGCACGATGGTTTCCTACTTCGCCTATTTTTCTTTAAAATAAAAAATGCTATAGGGAGCTATATAGTGGGGAAATGGCGAAAGAACGGAGTGAAACGGTCAAAATCCAGCGAAGAAAAAGCCTTCGTTCTCAGTGACTTGTAAATCGATTTCGGACGAGTTTCCCGTACGCATCTTGCCAATCACCGCTACCGAAGATACGGCTGCATATGTGTACCCATATATGCATGCAGCATCACCGCCGCTTCATACCAATCCCTTTGCTTCATAATTTGCTCAGCAAATGAATGAATACGAGCGTCAGAAACGGTCGTCCGTTTGTGGGCGGGCGGGCAAGGAAGGCGTTTGGGACGTAAAGTTGTTGCTCAATAGGGCGTTATAGAGGTACCCTCCTTGGAAAAGGCTTCACGCAGCGCCTGTCCGAGGTCACGGAATTCTGTTAAGCCAGTTGTACAAATTCTACACCTGTATAGCGATTTATCGTGCCAACTGCCTTTAATAACGAAATAGAGAATGCCCTTTTTCATGCTTAACGCGTAGCTCTGGTGAAGTCTCGCGACTTACACTGGGGACTCCTAGCGACAAGAGATCACAAGGACGTCAACCTCTCATCACTGCGGTCCCTTCTAGTCGCAGATGGTGCGAATCCATGGTCACTGTCATCGTGCGATCAATTTGCGGCCACATTCGCAGCTCACGGATTACGAGCGGAAGCTATGTGTCCATGTTCGGGTAGCTCTGAAACGGGAACAATATCACTGAGAAAGTAGGTTTTCGTACTTTTCCATAAATAACATTTTCCTCTTCAATGCTTGCTGTGATCTCAGGCGATCGGCTAGTGGAAGTGGAAGCAGTGGACGAGGAATCCTGTCAATGGCCGCGCTAAGTCATTCTGTAGTTCGTGTTGACAAGGAGAACTCATTGACAAGCCTCACTCTTCAGGTGGATATATAAAATGTAATGTGTCTTTTTGAGCATCGCAACACAGGATTTTCTTTCTCAGGATGCTGGTCAAGTAATTCCTGGTGGCTCCGTTGTCGTAGTCAAGCAAACGGGCCCCGCTCGTCTTTGTCGAGCAGATGAACTGGGAGAGATCTGTCTGTGCGCTAACTCGACTGGAAATGCGTACTGGGGTCTGGAAGGGGTATCTGCAGCGACATTCAAGGTAGTTTTCACCGTAAACTATAAGTTAATATAATTTATAATTTCTTTTAGTTTTATGAATCATGGATATTGTTCTCATTGCTCAGATTGAGCCATTGGGTGCAGATGATAGGCCTCTTGGTCCTCGACGATATGTACGAAGTGGTTTGATCGGCTTCATGGGCCCGGTACGTTGGCATTTACTGGTATTGGATCCGCATATACCCTAGTTCGCTGCGGACGAAGGGGCGTGTCAGGCAATTGGAGTATGCCGCGGCGCACAAACACGGGCCGCTCCGGCTAGTTGCCTGAAGCGGGTATGCGACAACGATTGATACAAACAATATGATGCAGTCATGTCACCTGCTCGCTTTGAAAACTGGCAGAAAACGCGTTTGGCACCGCCCCCAGCTCATCACGCCTGACTCGCCCCTTCGTCCCCGCGAACTGGACTATACAATAGCTTTGTTGTGTGTTTAGTTCTTTAGTCTACATTGTTTTGAAGGATTGTTTGTAGGATGGTCTTGTATTCGTTGTTGGGCGGCGTACTGCGCAGTTGAGTGTATCCGGTCGCCAACATTCAGCGGATGATATAATTGGTGAGACTTTCTTTCGATGATTATCAACTCTTTAAGCTGCGTTTATACTTTGCGCCAGCGTTTTGAGCGTAGGGTTTTCAGTTTATGCAAAAATACGTCAGCGTTTTAAAGCCTTTTGCGGGAAGTTTTGACCTTTCCGCGCGCTGAAAGCGCTGGCATTGATGCTTATGCATTTCCTAGTTGCTTAAAACACTCAAGACGCTGGCATCCTTTCGAAGAAATGCTGCCGTACGCTTGAAATGCTGACCCAAAGTATTAACGCAGCCTTATTTTTTTGAATATTGATTATGTTCACAAAAGAGGTCTGGAACTGTTCCCAAAGTTTATCCCTAGTTGTTTTCTGAAAACTCTTTCTTGACAGAAATCTGGTAACTCTCGCTTTTCAGCGACTGTTCTCGCCGTTGAACCCATGCGGTTCGTATATCGCGGACGAATCGCCGTATTCTCCGTGTCAGTACTTCGCGACGAGCGGATAGTGATTGTTGCCGAACAGAAACCTGGTGCTAGTGAGGAGGATGCGTTTACGGTAAGTTCCAATTTTCCTTCGTGCAAGGTGTTGCAAGTCAAAATTTTTTAGTGGATGTCTTGTTCGGTATTACAAGCAGTTGACGCTATTCATCAAGTTGGTATCTATTGCCTTGCACTTGTACCATCGAATCAATTACCAAAGGTAGGTGACTGTCGCAGAGACAAGGTTTTTTTATTCCTATTTGTGTGATTCATATCATCATTTGCCTAAAGTTTAGTTACATTCCAATGACAAGGCAGTGAGGACACATGGCTGGACGGGCGGTTGCCTACCATGCGTATCATTGGCTGCGAAGCGAACTGGATGATGCCAGATGCCCTGATCGCAAGCCACAACTAACACTGCAGCGACGCAACCGCCCATTCTTATCGCCCCCATTGCCTTTATGTTTAACTTTTGTATGATTCGCACCATGGGCATTGACGTTACTCCTGTCATCTGCTTTAGGGAGGGGCTTTTTCCGTGGTTTCGAGAAATATTGATAAACTCGAAGCTTGCACAAAAGCCGGTTGCGCGGAGAAAACCCTCAACCCGAACGCCTTTTCTCTTTCGCACCTTCCTTGAAATGTATTGCATTTGATGATGCCGAGACTCTCTGACATGGACTTCATTAAATGCAGGCTGCACGAAAACCGGATGAGGGGATACCCTCACCCATAACGAGAAAGCCGGATGGCCGACTCCGCTCATCCGATTATTGGCAATATGTCTTTAACGAAGTCGATGACAATACGATATCCCCCCTCCCACCACCTCACTGCCTACCAACGCCTTTGCCAAATTCTTGGTAAAAATTTCGCTGTCATCCGGTGAGAGGGGCAGGGTGCTCAGACCAAGTACGATCAATTGTCCTATTTTTGCCGTGTTGCCAACCAGGGAAGGTGAAGGGGGATATAGCGCGCATGAGACGGTAAAAATCGCAACGGGGAAGCCAAATAGACCCTTCTTCCCTGATATGGGTTACTCAGAAAGATGCCGTATACTGGTTACAGAGCTAACTATGAGTAGTGTTTTCGTGTGTTTCAAATGGGAATTCGTGTACTGTTCTTCCAATATGCAGTTTGATATTGCTATTTTTAGACCCCTCTCGGTGGCATCCACGTTTCTGAGACGCGACAACGTTTCGAAGCCGGTGAACTTCATCCATCAACACTTCTCATGTGCCCACATAGCTGTGTGATCAATCTTCCCAAGCCTCGGTCAGTTTTTTTCAAACCTTTTTGTGAAGATTCTTGGTTTTTCGAACTCTATTTTTTATTAGAGGCGAGGTTAAATAATGAGGCGGAGGTGGTGTAAACGCACCACCTCCGCCTCATTACTTTACCTCACCTCTAATAGTGGCACGCTGACCACGGCTGCGGTTGAGGGGTCAAGTCCTGAATCGGCTCCCGCCCAGGCCAACTAAGTCTTCTGCCTTCCGGGAACGGTGAATTGGAATTAGATTCGTCTGGGAGGACAAGAACATTTGTACATAGGCTCGCCACCGCAAGTCATTTGAGAAGCCACTACGATTCCGAGTGCAAGTAGAATGCGTGCCGCGTCCCAAAATTTGATTGATCATCGGCAAAAACTTCATCCTTTGTTTTTTATTGATTTTTCCGAGGAACACATCTATGAGGATCATTTTCAGCGAAGTTCAACCTGATATCGGACCAGCATCGATGCTTCTCGGAAATCTAGTCCAAGGTGTCAGAATTGCAGGAGCTCAAGGACGCAGTCTTGGATGTGATGATGATATGGTAAGTTCTAGGCTATTAAAATAAGGATAGCTCTTTAATTTTTTTTTTTCAAGTTAGCAATTGTGACCCCTCGATTTGTAGAGCCTGCTGGAAATTCTACGGTCACGAGCGTCAACTTCACCTGATCACAGATTATTTACGTTGGTTACTTCCAAAAGTCCAGAACAAGACACGGCGACATGTGCGAGCTTGTTGAAGTGAGTTTCTTGCGTATTTGTTCTTTTCAATATTTGGTTTCAACTAAATAAATAACCGATTGCATTTATGTTTTTATTTATTTCTTGTTTTCCTAACAGTTGTCATGCTTTTCTTTTCTGCCCTTTCTTCTTCCTCCTCATTTTTCTTTCTTTTTTTTGCTTTCCTTTACACTTTCCTGCACAATTCCACTAATACGACTCCAGAAACTCTATTTTTTCGCTGAAAGTTTGCCGGTTAAGATTATTCGGTGCCCTGATCAATATAATATCGGTTTTCCGTGCTGGCGCCAATAGGTGCCAGTTTGGCGCCACCACTTTTTTCAAGAACTTGGCAAATGTGTACTTGGGGTAATTAGGAGTTCTGGCCACGAGCATGACATTCGTTTTAGCCCTGACGCCTTTTGGCGCCAAAAGCCGCAAATTTGGCGCTGCTACCTTTTTCACCGAAATCAATAAGAACTGGCATAATAGCGTTGTTTAATGTCCTGATCACGAATATGGCATTCATTTTTCGTCACCAGCGCAATTTAGCGCTCTGCTAACGGTGAGCTTAGGTAGAGGAGTGATCCTTTTCTCCCAAGCTCAACCATAGCAGAGCGCAGATGATCGTAGTGCCCTTTACTAGCGCTAGTGCAAGGAATGAATGCCATATTTGTGATCAGAATGCCAAATAACCCTAATTTGCAAGTTTTCATCGATCTTCGTGATAACGAAGGTGACGCCAGATTCGGGTGCTAATGGCGCCAAAAGCACCCATTCTGGCGTTAAGGGGTATCATATGCATGATCGGGGCACCGAATAACCTCTATAGTGAACTTTCAGCGGAATTTTCCCTGAGTTTTTGGAGTAGTGATGATAGATTAGTATCCACATTCTTGCATACGTTGTTTCCTTAACATTGCATTGAGAAAAATGTTCGAAGATTGAGTTGGAGTCTTTTCATTTTTGATTTCTATGGATGTATGTTTAAGGAGAGCAGAACGAATTGGGGCTTTCCTCGTTGAACGAGGTCGCCTCAACGCTGGCGACCATGTGGCACTGATTTTCTCTCCGGGCATCGACTTCATTGCGGCTTTTTACGGTTGCCTTGTAGCTGGTGAGTCCATTTGCTTAGCTTTTCGCAAAGCTGTTTGGCATTATATTCTGTCCCGGATTTATAGAACTCTCTTTCACAATGGCTAAAGAGCAACAGCGCAGTAATACGGTGCTGGAATGATTTTGTGAGTACTCAGCGAGAAAGCTTTATAGGGTGTTGTTCCCGTATCATTCGAAGCACTCATCGGCAGCTTCCGCTTCAAACTACATCTGGACCGTCTGTGAGATATGAATATGTCGCATGTTACGCTAAACGCAGTAGCCCGATAGTCGTGAATAGCTGCAGGTGCTTAAAGTTGCTGAAGGTTAAGTAGCACCTAGTATAGCCTCTATTTCGTCGCTGTAGCATTGGGGATTACGGCCACCGGTCTCAACAGACTATATGGTTAGCCACAGGCTCTGAAGCCTCAACCCCACGCCATGCTGTCTATAAAAAGAGTGACACGGTTTTACTGTTGGTAGAGCATGGCCAAAATTGCTCACGCTGCTTCGGTGTGAGGGTGCAGACGAGAAGGCATGACAAGGCTCAGCTCTGTTGAAGAGGTGGTCCTTTTCCGGGCGGCTAGTTCTCTCTGTATAGATTAATTTTACCCGCGACTACTGCCATTTTTCTATCGATTAGTCATTTCAGAGTAAAGAGGCTGCTCACCGAGTTGACTCGAAAGCCTGGCCGATGATTCTTGACATCGAAGACTCTCCAGCGTCATGGAAAAGGAAAGCCAACACAGAACCCTCAGAATCTTTGCCATCGGATGCATGCTACTTGGTAAGTCCTAAAAGTGATTTGCTCTGTTTTGATATTCCTAATCAGCAATCAATCATAGAACTCAGTTGTGTTTGTTTCGAAGGGCACATATTACAGGATTTCTCCGTGAGTACAACTGGACAGCTGGTTGGCGTAATCGTCAGCGTGGGTGGTGCTTTGAGCATGTGTAAAAGTTTAAAAGTGAGTTATAGCTGGGTAATAGAGATGCCACTGTTATGTGGTGTTCATCGTTTGAGGCTCTTAGTATTTTGAAAATTATTAAATTCGGTGAAACTTCAGGTGACATGTGAGCTTTACCCTTCCCGTCATGTAGCCCTTTGTCTGGATCCATATTCTGGCCTTGGCTTCGCACTGTGGTGCCTTTCAAGCATCTACTCAGGTCATCACACGATTCTCATTCCACCGTCCGAGGTGGAAGCAAGTCCGTCATTGTGGTTATCCACCGTTTCCACATTGAAAGGTAGAATTCTTTTTAGTTTTAGTTGAAAAATTTTTAACTGCAATTATTTTAGCACGCGATACCTTTGCTACCTACGGCGTACTTGGTCTTTGTGTACAGGAATTAGCATCCCAGGTGCCTACACTGAAGGAGAAAGGAGTCAGTCTCTCGTGGTAAGTCTTTACGTCTTGATTTTGGATTTTGTAGTCAAAATTGGATAGTGTTTGGCCTAGTAGGTCACATCTTCTCATTCGATTGAAGATAATGGTGTTCGGAAAAATAGCTGGTCTTTGCTCGTGTCAGTGGTGTTTTTATAGGCCTGTCAGACTAAACAGATCATTGTAGTCCCATACCGTCTATTTTACGACCTCATTTGAAGAACCCGATAATCGGTGAAACCTTTCATTCCGTTCAAAGTCTTGAGGAACACTGGTATTAGGTTTGTGGTCCAGCCAGGTCATGGTACGTTGAAAACGAATTAAAGACAGCTCCCGCGATAAAAGTCTCATGGATAGCTGCTTTCCAATTATGAAACAGTAGCTGATAAGTAATCTCCCAAAGAAGAAAACAGGCAAGAAGCGTTCTCCAGAACAACATAAACAAAATCGCTCCCTCACAGTTACACCTCCCTGCGGTCTCTGTGCAGCCCCTAGCTCACAATCTCTCTATCACATCTCGCAGTAGTTGATATCATCCAGCAAAAAAAAAGAATACAAAAATAAGACAGCAA